CCAGAGCTCGGGACAGTGCCTCCCAGGAGTCCCAACTGGAGGTCCGGAGCCCACAAGAAGGACTCACGCCACTCTCTTTTACGGATCCATGCCGGGAAGACCCGAAGGTCAGCGGTGGAAGTCAGAAAGTCCATGCCAGCGGGGTGAAGGAGCTGTGCTAGTGGAATGAGGGTTCTACGCTGGAGCCGAGAAGTTACACTCACAACAAAGACCAGGGCTAGCCTGAAAGGCACCACAGCCATCCTCAGCAACAGGGAGGCTCTGAGCTCCTCCTACGACAAGCACAGTCGGGTACGTGCCAGGATGCAGCATGACAAATCCATCCTGGAGACCAAGCAGCACATGTCTTCCCCTACGGAGCCAGGAAGCAATGCTTGATGTGAGGACCAGAGCTTTTCCAGGAGAACCAACAGCTCAAACAGCAACACACAGGAGAACCCACAATGCCTCCACGCAACAAGGCATTAATGCCTTAACCCTCAACACCTTCCCTTCTTCTCCACCTATTTATGCTGGCTCAGGTGGAGCATCTTCGCACAATGCCATGCTGATTTTTTCCAGCTGGCATTAAGTTGACCACCAGTTCTCAATCCGTAACAGCTGAATTTTAGGTTTTGAGTCTGTTGGAAGATACTACCTTTTCAGCTTTTTGAACATGAGAAGTTGTTCATTTGGCCTAGCCTCTGGTTCTTTGGTGTTGGGAGCAATGGAAGCTATAAATTGACCTAGGGCAAGAACCAGATGTGATCCTACCAGAAAACAAAGAGCGCCTGGGTAGCCACATAAAGAAGTTGCTACAGCCCAGAAAAACACCAAGCTTCTGGACAATCGAAGCATGGGATTGCTAAGGCGAGGGACTAAAATTGACATCATCTTTCCCAGTATATAAATAAACATGCTGCATTGGTTGAGCAGTACCTTTTCTCCCATCAGGAGGATAAGGACTCCACCTGAGCCCAGATTTGTCTTTTATTTTTCTCATCCTCTCAGGGTTCTTAATCCCAAGAAGCTCAGGAGCCTCGTTGGGTCACAGCATGTGGTACTAGAACACTGAAGGGGCAAGAGATTGAGGGTGAGGGGACACGTCTCATAAGTGTGCAATTTAGGGGGAGAAGTGCATTGGTACAGGTCAATAGTCATCACTGGACTGTACGGATACTGCTTCATCCGGTATAAAGAGTGGGGCATTGAAACTCCCTTTATTCTCAAGGGCCAGTTATAAACAGGTCTAAGAGAAACCCCTCCCCTTGAAAAAAAAAGAGGTATATTGATTATATCACCTGCCTAAATATGGAACAAAATTATTCAAAAGAGTTACAAATGTATAAGGACCTGTTTGCTGTATGCTTGATTCCAGCACTTACATTTCCTCTGTGGATCTGGATTAGACAAGATCTTAATAATCATGAACTTCTTGAGACAACCACAATGGAATTGGCTCCAGGCACTGTTTCAGAATCAGGTTCCAAGCAGGGAAAAGATGGCAGCGTGACCACCATCCTGATAACCTTAACTGAGCCACTAACTGTCCATTCAGCAAAACCTTCAACTATCTGTCCAAAGTGTAGACCACAGTATCACTGGCCCACTCGACATAAATTCAAACTGTTACAAAAGAAAAACTTCCAGCTGGACCTGGGGCAGCCCTGCCAAAAGTAGGAGTGTGACAGCTCTGACACATTTCCCCTGGCCTAGCTTGGCCCCGCAGGCTTCTAATGGTTGGGGGTAATATGGTCCCGATTCGTGGTTTGCAGATTTTCTGTTTACAGAATGCTCTTACAAAAGACAGTTTCAACTAACCAGTACAACAACAGCTAACCTTTAAAACTTCTAAAAATTCAACATTTGGCTTTCACAGCTGATCATAGGCTGGCTCCTCCAGCATATCCCTGTCTTACTATGGCCTTGTAGTGAGTCTTAATATCTAGTAGTGTAAATTCTAAACCTCCATTGTTTTTCAAAATTTGTTTACTACAGGGGTACTTATTTCAAATTGATGATTAATGTAACTCCATGTTTATTTAGGTCTTTTTTGCTTTCAGTCAATTTTAATTTTCTTTTTTTTTTTTAATCGGTACCAGGGATCAAACTCACGACTGTGCGCTTGCAAGGCAGGCACTTATCCCGCTGAGCTAAATCCCCAGCCCCTCAATTTTAATTTCCAATACACTGACCCTACACAGCTTGCTAAATTGCTTGAGTTCATCTCCAGAAGAAGAAACCCTAAATTTACATACTTGGGAGGAAATTGAAAAACAGCTTAGAGCAAGACTAGCAAGAAAACAAACCAACACAAGTCTAGCTGGACCTCTCCAGATTTTAAAGGGTTACTTAACAGGGATAACTGCTGCCTTCTGCTCCTCTCACTACTTCTCACAGGCCCCCAGGGCACCAAAGCCTCCACTGAGCCTGGAATGTGGCCCAGACAAAGAAGGTAAAGAAACAATGTTGCTAGTTTCAGCTTAAGGGAAAAGCAAGGTTATGGTTCAGCCTACTCAAAACACAGTTCAAATCTCCCTCCAGTATTGTATGGCTCAATAGGTTATTCTTCCCTTGACAAAAATTGGCAAATCTATAAGTAAAAGAAGGGTACCTAAGGATTTTGGATCTTCTGATACTGATTAGAGAGGTGGAACACAGCTCTAGCCTGCCTGAGGCACCCCGGTTTTTCCTCTCACCTGTGCACATGCTTTATGCATCAAAAGGTTACACTGCGCTGATGCTCAGATCCCCAACAACAGTGGGGCCTCCAGCCCAGAGCAGCAGCACCACCTGCGTGTCAAGAGAGAGCCCAAGGTGCCCAAATGCAAAATGCAGCTTTCTTTTTTCTCTATAAGTTATCACAATGTCTTTATAATCTTCAGATCGAAAAGTACTTTAATGCACTCACAATTTAAATTTCAAAATCAAAAGGGGAGATTTCTCCTGGCAGTATATACCATTTAAAATATTTAATTCTAATAATGATATAACTACTGCAGCAGAAAGTATGGCGCAATCAAATAAAGGCTAAAAAGAGTCCATTGGAAAAGTCTTAATACTGGACAATAAAAGCACCCAGTGCAGTGCTAATAGGGGGTATAAGGTATGCTTTGTTTTTCCAGGAAAAGTTACATGGCCATTCTGGGTGCCAGTGTGTGCTATCTGGCGGTATCATGGACCCAAACCCAGAAAAGGAGTTGATTCCACCTCTCAAGAAGCAGATGCTCAGTCCTATGACAGTGATGCCTTGATACCGTGCCACAACCAGTAGAAAAGGATGAAGCTAGAACCAACCTTAGTTGACCCAAGATGCCAGAAGATGGTAACAAAAAATAGAAAAGGCCCAAATAGATGATAGAAGTGTATGCTAAGTCCTATGACAAAAATGTGTTACAGATAAGATTGTCTTTTTCAAATTATTTGATAAGAGATCTCTGCTAATTGACCTACAACAAATCTGACTAGTCTATTTAAAATTACAAATTCTACAATTGTAAAAATTTTGTGTAACTGAATTTGGCTAAAATATATTTGAGCGCACTCTGATTGTGTAAGATGTTCATCAGTCTCCTGTGTACCTGTCTGTTAACCTCCCAATCTTTCACAGAAAACAACTTGGTCAAGCAATGGTTGTGACTCATCTGAATGGCTGACACTAATGGAAAAACTAACAGGTGCTGTAGCTGGTTCCAAAGTATTCCTGAGGAGACCTAACTGACCTTGATACATAACAACAATTGATTGTGTTTAAAACAGGTCTTGCCTAGGATTTAGTTCAATGGCGTAAGCACTTGCATGGCAAGTGCAAGGTCATGAGTTTGATCCCTGGTACCAGTAAATAAATAAGTAATATGCAAATAAAAATAAAACAGGTCTCATTTGAACTTGGTGTTGAACATCCTACTGAAAACGTACAACTACTAAAGGTATATAAAACAATGCAAAAGTAATTTGTTATAAAAGAAACTCAAATCCCTAATACCTTTTGGCAATTGCCAGATACACTAGTAGCTGAGTACTGTCACAAATCAATGGACTTCACAGAATTTCAATTTCAGAACGCGGACTGCACTTAAAAAGATCTTCTACAAAGCTTTCCAACACAGCTCCTCCAGCTTCAACTGACCACTCATCCTCTGCAACAACAAAACAAAAGAAACGCATACGTTGGGAGCTGTGGAAGCTGCAAATTGACCTAGGGCAGGACCCAGAGGTGATCCTACCAGAAAACAAAGAGCACCCAGGTCAGCCAGGTGAAGAAGTTGCTACAGCCCAGAAAAACACCAAGCTCCTAGACAATCCAAGCAATGGGTTGCCAGGCAGAGGGGCTGAAATTGACATCATCTTTCCCAGTTTGTAAATAAACATGCCGCATTGGTTAAACAGTAATTTTTCTCTCATCAGGAGGATAAGGGCTCCACCTGACCCCAGCTTTGTTTTTTCTTTATTTTCCTCATCATCTCAGGTCCTTAATCCCAAGAACCTCAGAAACCGCATTGTGTAGTGGCACTTTGGCACTGTGCCGTAGTATTTTCTGTGACCTTTAGTTAATTTCAATCATGGGTTATCAGCGCCAACAGCTGTTTAGAACAATTATGTCAATTTTGGCTGTAGTGGCACCAATAGCAACAAACAGCCTAGAAAACAACAAACTGAGCTAACCTTTAATTTGAAACTTTTAACTGTGTTAACTAGATTCATGACTATATAACATAACATAAAACAAACCAGGTGCCATATATAAATACATAATGTGTCAATTTTGCCCTCGGGGTTAAAATTTAAAATACGTTAAGGTGAAAACAGGTAAGTAGAAGAGAAAGAGATTGCAAGTAAGGTTGGAGGACAAAGGTGGGTCTCGCCAACTTGGAGAAACTGGTGCAGAAGACTGAAGGAGAAGAGAGATGGAAAAGATAAAAGGAAAAAGAGAACAGAACCACACAGAGAGAGCTTAGGAACCACTGTCACACTCAAAAAAAGAGAAAGAAATAAAAACCAACTGAATAAAACAAAGCAAAACAAACAAAATACCCCACGAAACAACAAAACCAAACAGTCCACTTCCAGGATTCTGAGTTCACTAACAGACAGCCTGTGGTGACACAGTCCCGAATCGTGCCACCTTATCTTCACAAGCCAGCAGTTGCTTTATAGTGGAGTAGCAGACAACCTTAGCAGGCATGCTCTGAGACCAGACTCATTATGCTCGCCGCAGTCTAAGCAGTGTCCCCGGGTCGGCGCCCAGCTAGGAGCTGCTGGAGGAAGCTAGCAGCAGTTCGGGTTCCGGCGTATTCTGCCCAATTCCAAAATGGCTCCCAGCCAATCGTTTTTACAGCGGGAGGACTGAGTCCTCTGCACTCACCGCGAACCAGTGCAGTCCTCCACGTCCACCGCTTCCCTCCACTGCCGTGTCTCTGCAGAGGCCTCCAGGCTGGCCAGCCGCCACTGTCACCGTGACCATGCGTCGCCAGCAGCTCCTCGTGCACGGTGAGTCTGGCTCAGGGTGAAGGTGTCGCCAGCTACTACCTTCTTCTTTGCTTAAGTTTTCCTTTTTACTTTCTCTGTGGGCTTCAACTTGCATTTCAGATTCTTCCTGGGCCAAGGGGACCCCCTTCCTTCCTTCTTGTCTTCCTCACAGAGCTATACTCCAGTGTTTCTACAGTGACTCTCAGAGACGCTGCTTTCTCTGCTGGTTACTGCTCCGCCATCTTCCCGGAAGTCCCTTTAACAAGCGTAAACTCTTGCTTGCTCAACTTAAAAAAAAAAAAAGATGCAAAGGAAAGAAATTATCTTTGTCTTCTGCTGCATCGTGTGGTATCTGGATGGGATGCCTAGCCCTGTGGCTGCCATCTTATGCCCACGAGGGGGCAACATCATAAGGAAGCCTGCAAGCTGAAATTGGAAGAGCATAAACACAGAAGAAAACTAGGCTCATGAGGACCTAGCTGATCCCAAAACATGTCAACTTTTGGACTTCCTATGTGAGATAATAAAATTTTCTTACCATTTCAGAAAAAAGTTAGTCACATAGCATCATGCATTAGAACAGGTATGAATTTCATAGCAATACTTAGAACCTAGCAGATAATGGACCAATGCCTCCCAAATGCCAGGGCAAATGAATTCCAACCTAGAATTCTGTACCTGCAAAATCATTAACGTGAAGATAGATGACAGACACTTTCAGATGTGCAGTCCCAAAAAAATTAGCTTCCATGCATCCAGTTCTTACAATCTGCCAGAGCTGCCCCATCAAATCAAGGGGTAGAGCTAAGAAAGAGAAAGACAAGGGGACTAGGAAAGGGGAGTTGTAACTTGAAAGAGAGGCAACAGGTGGTCGCAGGAGACAAGACAGCAGCAAAGCATCAGTAGAAAGTGACTAATACGGAGAGCTCCAGGAAAGAGTTCTTCAAAAAAAAAAAAAAAAAAAGAATTGGTGGATATTTGATGTGTGTCTGAACATTTTGAAAGGAAAATTAGCTTAAGTGGTAGAGCTCATGCTTCATAAGGAGGGAAGGAAGGGAAGAAACCCAGATCCTTATTAATTCCAGGAAAAGTAAAAAGTTGAGTGAGCAAGAAAAAATAATCAAGGGGTGCTACATAGTTTGGCCATGCATTACATTTTCATAATCATACTAATGGAAAGGTTGAATGTGGAGGAGTGGAAGTATGGATGTGTATGGGAACAGATATATAGAGCTGTGTTTGGGAAGCAAGGAAGGGGAAACTGGTGAAGGAGCAAAACCTATCCTTTTCCACACTGAGACATCTGTAGTTAATGACTATGCTGTGCAGTCAGTGATAGTACGGTCACCACATCATTTAGTGATGCAAAGGGAACTAGCGACAGACCCAGTCAAGAGAAAAGCCATGCATGACAGTTACCCTGGGCAGTGGTCAGGGAAGAGGACGGGATACCAAGGACTGTCCTTTATCATCACTGGCTGGGTAGAGCTGTCGCACTGTGTAGAAGTTTAAATAAAAGCTAAATTTAAAGCTCAAGAAATACAAAAAGGATAACAAAGGTTTTTTTTTTTTTAAAGAAAAAGAACCAATTATTAACTCCAAGGAAGAGTTAAGAAAAGAAGACCTCTAACTGTACTCAGCTGTGACTAACAGTCACATAACAAGCTGGCTCTCTCCACCTGCCCTGCGCTGAGGGTGTAGTGACATCAGTGGACTCCACTCATGGGTGTCTGGTGCCAGGGGGTTCTGGCTCAGGGCTGTCCCAGCCACAGATGGGAGGAGGTGGATGGGTGGGGGTATGTAGTTCCCTGGCTCTGTTCCTGGCTGGCTGTGGGCCTGTAAGGCAGGCCCACATCAACTCTAACATCAACTCTTTTTGTTAAAGCTGTCTGTCAGGCAGCTCTTCCTTTACTGCTGTCTGTCTCTGGGTTCTCTGGGGCCCAGGAGTGGTTGTGGAGTTCCCACAGCTTGACCAACCCTTTCTCTAGCCCTTTCCCCATACTCTTCCCACACTTTTATAAATAGTCCCTTTTTCAATTCCTCGAAAATTCCCCAACTTGAGTGTGCCATATGCTTCATGCTAGGACCCTGATACACATAAGTATGATCATAGAAATAAGGATTCATAGTCAAAAAGTCATAATATATTAGGAGGGGAAGGGAAATACATGCATATTTGAAGGTGATGTACAGAAGGAAACTAAATCCTCATCCTCTATAAGACATGAATATATCTAAAAGCAAAGAAGAATGAGGAGCAGGAGGAAGACGAGAGAGAAAGGGAAAGCAGAAAAGAATGGGAAAGAAAAAAGTACAGAAACATGAAGTAAATCCTAAAAGAACTAACAAACAGTTTGGAAAATGAAGATTTTTCTTATTCTTTATCTGAATATTTCAGGAATTGCTTCCAAAATCGTATTTTTCAGACAACCATACATGACTCAGCAGGTTTTGAAATCAATTTAGTGGATATCAGTTTATTGTTTTATAATCAGAACAGAATAAACATTAAGAGAAGGCATCATAGAAAAAATGTGGTTCTGTTAAGCTTCTGTTCCATTTTATATATGTTTGTGTATGTAATATAAAATGTGTTTCTCGTCGTGCATTGGGCTCAGAACAGCTTGGAAGTCACTTCTAAAAGACAGAATGGTGGCTAAAGACTGTGCGGAGAAGTAAATATCCTAACCAAATGGGGTTAAAGGGTTACATTATTCTCTGAGGGCACAGTTAAATTTCAAGTAACTCACAGGAGCAATAATTCTCAACACTGACGCAAGGCCCTGCCAGGTTAACTGTTCCATACATGGCTTTTAATATATTCACCCTGTGCATTATGATATTCCTGGCTCACCAGCTAATAATGAAATCAATCCGGAGCTTTTCTGTTGCAATGATATATTGCTTTATTATGGAAGCTACTACACACAAAGAAATAATTGTTCAGGATAGGACTAAGGGGACATCACAGTAAGACTAGCAAGCAAGAACAGAAATTATATTCAACATGGGAGACAGGATGGAAAGCCTGATCAATTTGCAATTAACTAATTGCTTCAATTACCAGTTAGATGATTCAGGATTTAAGCAACCAGAATTCCTGGAATCTAAGAACAAGCATCAAATCTCTAAACTGTGTCATAGGAACAAACATCAACTCTTTTTGTTAAAGAAATGGAAAATGAAATCGAGACTAATGAAATAAATCAAAAAGGTGTACTCTGGGCTTAAAATAGGGAGCTATGTCTTCACAGTATCACATTCATCACACATACGCAGAATGCTGTATAATGTAGGAACTCAAACTTTACTTACATAATTCACATGATTATGTGAATATGTGCATTGTAAGGAAAATGAGCTGAGTCACAATTTTCCACCAATTTGTATGAAGTAAATAACAGGTGGTACAGAAAGCTCAATAATTCCCATGCAGCAGAATGTCCATTCATTTGGACTCCCAAGTTCCAGAAACAAATGGCAAAATGTGTGAAGTTTTGGCCAGGGAGATGAACAGCTAGCTGTCAGTGCTTTCCAGGTATATTTTGCATGTTGTGACTTGCTCGTCAAGAACATGCTGGAGCTTATGTGGCAGCTCATCCATCCAGCGGTGCAGGTGTGTATGACTGTGCAGAAGTGACGGAGACTGAGGAGATCTCTATGAGCCCTGGTCTCTGCAGTGTCACCACTCCATCTGAGGTGCAGATGCATGGAGAATCATGTATCCACTGTCTACGCTACCAGGTCCTCTTCATTCATCGTGTGATGCTGAACTGGAAGGGTGGCAGTAAAGAACCCCCCCCCCACACACACACACACTCCTCATGCTCTCATGCAGGTGTGTCCAACCTGCAGCCCACAGGTCACTTGCATTATTTTTTTTTTGGCTGATGTAAAAATTTTCTTAAGTTTTGTTACTTATAAACATTAACTATACTATGTATATTTTACATGTGTACTCATTGTGACTGAGACAAGTCAGAAGGTTGGACATTCATGCTTTTATGTCAAGTGGTACATTGAGGATTCCTGGGGTTCAATTCTGAGCCAGGCACCCTAGAGCGCCAAAACAAGAAGGGATGGGCTTGCTGCTGTCTTCGGTCTCTTTAGGAACTCGTAAAACAACTAAAGCAGGGGATAAGGTGGCATCCAGCAGACAAAGAAGTTGTGTGGGTTGAAAAATAAGTTTAGCCAAGAGGACTGGTTCCCCTGATGCCATTCGATGACATGTTTGGAGAAGTACTGCCACCTCTGAGTGCGCTGTGAAGTGTGAGGCCCTTGTTTTCCAAAATGCCCAATGTCTTCTGCTTAAAACAGCTACACAGGGAAATCGCAATGCAGAATCATGTGGCATGGGTACCAGGCAGGTTCTTTGTTGTGAATAACTTCTATTCTGATTGGTGAAGAAAACAGAACATACAGAGGAGAGAGGGTGTTGGAGATGTTGAAGATTCTACCTGACCCCAGTTTTGTCTTTTCTTTATTTTTCTCATCGTTTTAGGGTCCTTAAACTCAAGAACCTCAGGAGCTGAATGGGTCGAGGCATATGGCGCCAGAACACAGATGGGGTAAGAAATTGAGGGCACATGTTTCTCATGTGCGCGCGACTTAGGGGGAGAAGTGCATTGGTATAGCTCAATAGTCATCACTGGAGTATATTGATATTGGCTTCATTAGGTGTAAAGAGTGGGCCATTGAAACTCCCTTTATTCTCAAGGGCCAGTTATAAATGGGCCTGCGAGAAAACGCTTCTCCTGAGGAGAAAAAAAAAAGGTATATTGATTATATCAGCTGTCTAACTATGTGGCAAACTTATGCAAAAGAATCACAAATGTATAAGGACGTGTTTGCTGTATGCTTGATTCCAGCACTTACATTTCCTCTGTGGATCTGGATTAGACAAGATCTTAATAATCATGAACTTCTTGAGACAACCACAATGGAATTGGCTCCAGGCACTGTTTCAGAATCAGGTTCCAAGCAGGGAAAAGATGGCAGCGTGACCACCATCCTGATAACCTTAACTGAGCCACTAAACTGTCCATTCAGCAAAACCTTCAACTATCTGTCCAAAGTGTAGACCACAGGATCATTGGCCCACTCGACATAAATTCAAACTGTTACAAAAGAAAAACTTCCAGCTGGACCTGGGGCAGCCCTGCCAAAAGTAGGAGTGTGACAGCTCTGACACATTTCCCCTGGCCTAGCTTGGCCCCGCAGGCTTCTAATGGTTGGGGGTAATATGGTCCCGATTCGTGGTTTGCAGATTTTCTGTTTACAGAATGCTCTTACAAAAGACAGTTTCAACTAACCAGTACAACAACAGCTAACCTTTAAAACTTCTAAAAATTCATCATTTGGCTTTCACAGCTGATCATAGGCTGGCTCCTCCAGCATATCCCTGTCTCACTATGGCCTTGTAGTGAGTCTTAATATCTAGTAGTGTAAATTCTAAACTTCCATTGTTTTTCAAAATTTGTTTACTACAGGGGTACTTATTTCAAATTGATGATTAATGTAACTCCATGTTTATTTAGGTCTTTTTTGCTTTCAGTCAATTTTAATTTTCTTTTTTTTTTTTAATCGGTACCAGGGATCAAACTCACGACTGTGCGCTTGCAAGGCAGGCACTTATCCCGCTGAGCTAAATCCCCAGCCCCTCAATTTTAATTTCTAATACACTGACCCTACACAGCTTGCTAAATTGCTTGAGTTCATCTCCAGAAGAAGAAACCCTAAATTTACATACTTGGGAGGAAATTGAAAAACAGTTTAGAGCAAGACTAGCAAGAAAACAAACCAACACAAGTCTAGCTGGACCTCTCCAGATTTTAAAGGGTTACTTAACAGGGATAACTGCTGCCTTCTGCTCCTCTTGCTACTTCTCACAGGCCCCCAGGGCACCAAAGCCTCCACTGAGCCTGGAATGTGGCCCAGACAAAGAAGGTAAAGAAACAATGTTGCTAGTTTCAGCTTAAGGGAAAATCAAGGTTATGGTTCAGCCTACTCAAAACACAGTTCAAATCTCCCTCCAGTATTGTATGGCTCAATTGGTTATTCTTCCCTTGACAAAAATTGGCAAATCTATAAGTAAAAGAAGGGTACCTAAGGATTTTGGATCTTCTGATACTGATTAGAGAGGTGGAACACAGCTCTAGCCTGCCTGAGGCACCCCGGTTTTTCCTCTCACCTGTGCACATGCTTTATGCATCAAAAGGTTACACTGCGCTGATGCTCAGATCCCCAACAACAGTGGGGCCTCCAGCCCAGAGCAGCAGCACCACCTGCGTGTCAAGAGAGAGCCCAAGGTGCCCAAATGCAAAATGCAGCTTTCTTTTTTCTCTATAAGTTATCACAATGTCTTTATAATCTTCAGATCGAAAAGTACTTTAATGCACTCACAATTTAAATTTCAAAATCAAAAGGGGAGATTTCTCTTGGCAGTATATACCATTTAAAACATTTAATTCTAATAATGATATAACTACTGCAGCAGAAAGTATGGCGCAATCAAATAAAGCTAAAAAAAGTCCATTGGAAAAGTCTTAATACTGGACAATAAAAGCACCCAGTGCAGTGCTAATAGGGGGTATAAGGTATGCTTTGTTTTTCCAGGAAAAGTTACATGGCCATTCTGGGTGCCAGTGTGTGCTATCTGGCGGTATCATGGACCCAAACCCAGAAAAGGAGTTGATTCCACCTCTCAAGAAGCAGATGCTCAGTCCTATGACAGTGATGCCTTGATACCGTGCCACAACCAGTAGAAAAGGATGAAGCTAGAACCAACCTTAGTTGACCCAAGATGCCAGAAGATGGTAACAAAAAATAGAAAAGGCCCAAATAGATGATAGAAGTGTATGCTAAGTCCTATGACAAAAATGTGTTACAGATAAGATTGTCTTTTTCAAATTATTTGATAAGAGATCTCTGCTAATTGACCTACAACAAATCTGACTAGTCTATTTAAAATTACAAATTCTACAACTGTAAAATTTTGTGTAACTGAATTTGGCTAAAATATATTTGAGCGCACTCTGATTGTGTAAGATGTTCGTCAGTCTCCTGTGTACCTGTCTGTTTGTCCAGTCAGTTAAACTGTCGTTGGAAGTCACTGAGCTAGTGATCACTCACGTGTGAGGAGTTCATAGCACAAGTGTGCAAGTGGCACGGAGCACCTGAGAAACGCTCTGAGCGCAGGGTGTGCTGGAGGTGACAGGTGTTTCAACTCCGAGGACACGGGGCGTAAGAAGCGAGCGAGTTCAGCAAACGGGCGTGAAAGAGCCCCCAGAGTTCTTGTGGACACTGACAGCTATGTTTGTTTCTGCGTGTTTCAATCTGTACAGATTGTCTGTCCATGTTTGTCCATTTGTCCATTCTGTAAATAGCTGTTACTTTTATTTTGAGCTCAACCATGTTTCTCCTTTTTCTTTCCTTCTTTCTTTTTTAAATTTTGTTTACATTTCTGGATCACTTAATCAAGGTTAATTTGGATAATAGACTTAAAAGCATGCTTCCACCTCGGTTCCCAGTTAGTAAAAATGGTGCTAAAAAGAGTCTCTCTTTGTTTAAAAATTAAATGGTTAAATGTTATAATTGGGTTTTTCATAAGTCATCAAAAATTATATTAAGATACTTAAAAGTCCCTCGGGGTTGGGATTATTGGACAGGCCTTCAATTGATATATCAGAAAGCAGCTGCCTCGTAACATTTTTAACCTGTTCCTGTTCATTGATCTGAGGCCCCAGTGATCTTTATAGCCTTAAGGAGATACTCCAACTAAAGTTATAGAAAAATATCATTATAATATGTTCACTTTGGTCATCATCAAAAGAAATAATACCGTAATGTTTTTTATTTTAAAAATGCCAATACAAAGGTTTTCATATTGTTAGACAGATGATTGCTTTTAACCTCATGGTGTATTCATATATTCATGCTTCTAGATATACTGGTTTTCCAAAATGTAAAACAGGGATTTATAGTGGTTCAGATTCAGACCTCTGCCTTCAAGAAATGCTTCTGAAATCTACATCCCACTAAACATCATCAAGTTAGGTAAATACCTTTATGTATTAGAGAGAGATAATTGACTAAAAGGAGATATTTGATGTCAAATGCAAATTCAAGTGTGTTTAAAAATGTCATTATGATTGTCGTGTTAAAGTATCAGGTATGGTTTTGATTTCTAATTTTCTGTGTAAAATATGAAACTGTTAACATAGGTATTCAAATGTTAAAACATTCATAGTTGTTAAAAATAATGGTCCTTTTTTGTGTTGTAAGATACTTGATATTTAGATAAGATGTTAATGCCTCTAACTGCATGATACGTTTTCAATCTTTTCTTCTGGATGTTCAACAACTGAGGTATAGAGACCAACAATTAGAGAGAGACAGCTGGGTTAAGAGGAGAGCTAGTATTTTGGTCCTAGCCCTCCAAGGTCAGTGAGGACCCAGGACATAAGAGAACCTCTGCTGCATCATCCTATACTCAGTGAGTCCCTGGTCTTCTGATCAAGACTGTGAGACCACATTGGTGTGTGTTGTGCCTAAGGAGAGTCACCAGGAGCAATAAACTCCCAATCTTACACAGAAAACAACTTGGTCAAGCAATGGCCATGACACATCTGAATGGCTGACACTAATGGAAAAACTAACAGGTGCTGTAGCTGGTTCCAAGGTATTCCTGAGGAGACCTAACTGACCTTGATACATAACAATAATTGATTGTGTTTAAAACAGGTCTTGCTGGGGATTTAGCTCAGTGGCGTAAGCACCTGCCTGGCAAGTGCAAGGTCATGAGTTTGATCCCTGGTACCAGTTAATAAATAAATGATAAGTAAATAAAAATAAAAAATAAAACAGATCTCACCTGGACTTGGTCTTGAACATCTTGCTGAATATTTACAACTACTAAAGGTATATAAAACAATGTAAAAGTAATTTGTTATAAAAGAAACTCAAATCCCTAATACCTTTTGACAATTGCCAGCTACACTAATAGCTGACTACTGTCACAGACTAATCCACTTCACAGAGTTTCAATTTCAGAATGCAGGGATTTATAATCTTTGGACTGCACTTAAAAAGATCTTCTACAGAGCTTTCCAATATAGCTTCTCCAGCTTCAACTGACCACTCATCCTCTGCAACAACAAAACAAAAGAGATGGATTAAAATATGTGGGGACCCATGCAGCTTCTGAGGTTCTTAGGGTTAAGGATCCCTAGAAGATGAGAAAAATAAAGACAAATCTGGGGTCAGGTGGAGTGCTCAAGGACTGTTAACACATTTATTTATACAGTACAAAGAAGAATGCCAGTTTCAACCCCACTGCTTAGCAACTTGTTTGCCTGACTGGCCTGGGCCTCTTGCCTTTTTGGTGCTGGAACAACTTGTTTACATAGCTTGTTTTGGTCTCTGTTTTTTTCTGGGCTGGCCTTGCTTTAGCCCCACACATGTGATCAATCTCCAGCTGCAACAGCTCCCAACAGAGAAGGGGAGCTCATAGAATCTTGCAGTGTTCAAAGTAGGCTTCTACACCTGAACTGTGTTACCTGGCTGCTGT